ATGTTATTTTTTAAATGATTTATATGTGATATAAAAATAATATTGTAAGATGTGCGAATATAAAAATAATTAATACAAATTGTTCATGTAAAATGAACTTTTGATTCAAATGAAATAGAAGTTAGTTTGTGAGAAAAATTTAAACAGTTGAGGAAGTCAATTAGAATAGTTCATCCATTTACACTTTTGATCTGAACTGATCATCCAACGAATACCATCATTTCTTCATATTCGCTTAATATGCATTGATATATTAATTGAAAATATTTATTCTATATACGCTTTATATCCCCTTATTTACTTTCTCTTATCATAAAACTCTAAAAATATTCATCTTTTCTTCAAATTTTTTATTGAATTTGATTTACTATTCAATCAAGTGAAATAAATCTGTCAAATAAACATTGATCATAACTAGATAATTGACAAAATAATTCATGATAATATTGTTCAAATAATTAAATAAATCGAATGCATATTGAAAAACGAAAAGGTAATGAATATGTCAAATATAGTTAAATAAATTAAATATATATTGAAAAACGAAAAGTAAGGTAATGAACGTGTCAATGTACATTCGTCATAACTAAATAATTAACAAAGTGATTAATGATAGTATATTTTTGGAGAATGTGTGCTTGAAAAAGAAAGAAAAGTTTTTAGTTTACGTATAATGTTATTTTATGTAAGATTGTGTGGTTAAAAATAAGATAGAAGAATAAATTTTTGGATAACTGTGGCCAAACGGGGCTTAATAGATTATAGATACAGTTATAGATTATAGATAAACGTGGCTTAATTGTTAGTTTTTAATCAAAATTCAAAAGAGTTAATTTCATAGCAGTCACTGAAGTTACGTCAAAATCACAAAATGGTCACTGAAATTTAAAACTTACACTAACGGTCACTGAAGTATCAATTCATAGCAGTCACTGAAGTTACGTCAAAATCACAAAATTGTCACTGAAATTTAATAGTTACACTAACTGTCACTGAAGTATCATTTGATTTCAATAATGGTCACTGAAGGACCTTTTTTATTTTAATTAGAATTTAATGGACCAAAATAGTTAAAACTTGAACCTTGAAGACCTAAATCTCAGGTTGAACCATAAAACCTAAATCGTCTTTGATGGAGAAGAAACGTCAGCAAGGGCAGCAAGGGGGAAGAATAGAAGGCGAAGAAGGGAAAATTGGAGGGAGAATCGAAGGCGGAGACCGAAATGGATTCTGAGGAAGTATGGATGGTGGTGGCAGCAACAAGTGGTTAGGAGGAAGATGAAGTATAGATGGCGGTGGCAGCAAGGGATTGGGAGGAAGTATAGACAGTGGATTAAGCAGAATTGGCGGAAAAATAGAAGAATCAGTCACTTTTTTTATCTACTAATCCAGATGCTTTTGTATAGTCCTTGAGTGTTGTTTTCTTCTTGGGCACTGCTGGTGGAAAATTTGGCATTCCTGGAAGGGGCGGCAAAAATGCTTATTCTTATTGTGGGAATGGAATATATGAGATAACTATTAGGTTTTGGGTGTGGCAGATATCATTTGATTTCAGTAATGGTCACTGAAGGACCTTTTTTATTTTAATTGGAATTTAATGGACCAAAATAGTTAAAACTTGAACCTTGAAGACCTAAATCTCAGGTTGAACCATAAAACCTAAATCTTCTTTGATGGAGAAGAAACGTCAGCAAGGGCAGCAAGGGGGAAGAATAGAAGGCGAAGAAGGGAAAATTAGAGGAAGAATCGAAGGCGGAGACCGAAATGGATTCTGAGGAAGTATGGATGGTGGTGGCAGCAGCAAGTGGTTAGGAGGAAGATGAAGTATAGATGGCGGTGGCAGCAAGGGATTGGGAGGAAGTATAGATAGTGGATTAAGCAGAATTGGCGGAAAAATAGAAGAATCAGTCACTTTTTTTATCTACTAATCCAGATGCTTTTGTAGAGTCCTTGAGTGTTGTTTGCTTCTTGGGCACTGCTGGTGGAAAATTTGGCATTCCTGGAAGGGGCGGCAAAAATGCTTATTCTTATTGTGGGAATGGAATATATGAGAGAACTATTAGGTTTTGGGTGTGGCAGAAATGCTTCATTTCTGGCTTCTTTATGCTCACATGGACTCAATTTATTAACGTCTACTTCATTATTTTCTGGTACATGAATATTCTTAGGGAGATTTCCATGCTGCTTTAAATTTTGCGGCAGTTATGCAGGCGCCAGTCATATTTTCCTACTGAAACAATGGATGGGCCATTAGCACCCCAGTAATGGGTCAGTTTCGAAGTATATTCCCTTCTCATTGCCTATTTACACAATTGCACATTTGCTCATTTAGCCTTTTAACAGAGGTCTTCAATTTATGGATAAGCGAATGAATTTTTTTTGTACTGGTAGCGTTTTTGTAGGCTTCGCTGAACACTATGTAGGAGAGGACATAGCGGTCGGCGGAGGAGGCCAGGGGATCGGAGAAAATCGCTGACAGGCAAAAGGAGACATTGGGGGTGTTTTTGCGGATTTGGGTGGCGAGTTGAGAAGAATCTAGGTTAGGAGAAGTTGAGGTGAAAATGGCAATCGAAAAGTAAAGGACCAAGGTGAAGATGAAAAAGTGAAGAGCACCAGAAATCGCCATTGTTGGTTCAGATGATAACAGGCGGGGGATTTTTAATTGGTGGTGCAATTTGCGATTTAGGTCCTCAAGGTTCAAGTTTCAACTATTTTGATCAATTAAGTTTCAATTAAAATGAAAAAGGTCCTTCAGTGACCATTATTGAAACCAAATAATACTTCAGTGACCGTTAATGCAAGTTTTAAATTTCAGTGACTACTTTGTGATTTTGACGTAATTTCAGTAACCGTTTGTGAAATTAACCCAAATTCAAAACATATATGATATTTGAAATCATAAATATTGGTTCAAATTGAATCTTGGACTCATGTCCCAATAATATCTATGGATTTGTCATTCATTCAATATTGAAGTAAAAAATGTGCTAGTCCAAGTTCAACGTACTAACAAATCAGTCCAATTCTAGTAAAAGATTATCCCATGTTTGAACCCCATTTTTTTCTTCTTAAAAATGTATTTAGAAGTAGTAGATTGATGAGAAATGTGTGGTCGAAAAATAATGAAAAAGTTTTGAGTTTGCGTATAATATTATTTTATTGAAAAATGTATGATTGAAAAAAAAAAAAAGAAATATATTTTAAAAATAATGGCATATAAAATTTAGTTCTTTAGATTTATTACCCAACAAAGTGACAAACATTTGTGAAGGGTCCTCAGTACACCACGTTGTTGAAACAGGAATCGCAAGTTGAGAATTGAATAGAACTTCTCATTTCGATAATTGAATTTTAGTTTCATTATTATGTACAAAAAGTCAAGAAATCTAAACTACTCTTGACCATGGTTTCACGTTTGACCTTTTGTCTTTTTAAAGCCAATGTTCTCTTAACTGTTTTCAGAACGTGGGACTTTTCGTTATTATACAATACAAATTAGAAAATTATCATAATTTTTTTCTACTCTTGTACGCTAAACGCACCGCAATGAGCCTTTTATGTTTATAAGAAAATCTTGCAAAAAGATGAAAAATAATAATAATAACAATAAAAAAGTCCATTCATATAAAGTATATCTTCCTTTTGAGTCAAGATCTCACGTCTCTGTCTCATTGGATGCTCTTTCAATTCAAATTTTGGGGTGTGTTTGAATCACGTTATTTTGGAAGAATGTATTTTGAAATAGTAGATTGATAGAGAATGTGAGATTGATAAAGAAGGAAACGTTATTGATGTGATGAAAAATATTATTTTATTGAAGAATGTATGGTTGAAAATGAGTAGAAGAATGAAAATGAAAATTTTAATGTGGCTCAAACAAGAGCTTGATGTATTAGTATATTTTGAATGTATAGCGTGTTTTTTTTTTTAAATACACGCCACATCAAAATTATTATAACAATGTATCATGGGTCTCACATCTTTACAATCACTCATTTCAAAAGCTTCTATCACAATGCACTAAAAATCTAAATTTAGGGCTTGTCTGCCCCAAATTTTCTTCAGATTTTAATTGATTTTTGGCCCTTTTTTGACAGCATGTGGGTCCAAATATGAGAGAAATAGTAAAAAATGCTGGCTGCATGCCTAAGCAACGATCCACTTTTCAATTAAAATTCACCAAAAAATTAATTCCAGACATGGCCTTAATCTCCTCAAACACCCTCGCAGGACAAAACAAGAATGGGGACGGGCAAATTTATCTATATTCACCCATTTGATTGTGGCAGTAGAGGGTCGTGGCTACTGCTATTCCCAACCACCCTTTATAAAATATAAAATTTTCTGTCCCTGACAAATTCAATCTACAATATTGCCCCATTTCTCCAATAGAAAAAAAAAAAAGTGAAGATGCAGTGATTGGTGAAGATTTTCATAATCCAAAAACAAAGGAACTAAATTTCTTCTGTGAACGCATTCATTCTGCTGTTTCCTCATATTGTCATAGGTAAGTAGTAAACCCCCACTCATCCCATCCCGCCCCTATCCTTCTTCTTCTGCTGCATTATTTCACACTTCACTACGAAGAAGTTTCGGGAGTTAAGAAGGAAGTTTCAAGCTCATATTGGTCATGGTTTGAGAACGGGAATTGAACTCTATGAAATCTCCAAATATATAAGATTCTCGTTCTTGAAAATCAGAACGTAAGAGTATTAAAAAGGAAAAAGAAACTATAAATTTACTGTGTCCCGTATTGTCCATTTATATGTACCTATTTTTAGTATCAGTGCTAACCACTTTGGACAATTATTATTATTATTTTTTTCTTTTTTACTTTGACACAGTCCAACCCAGTCTGCCAAATGTTTAAGAAACCTTATCTTTATGGCATTATCTTCTTACTATAAGTAGTTGTGATATTTTGGCATATTCTTCTCTCTACCTAACATTTTTGGTTAATGCAGTTTTTGAAATTTGAATTAATCGAAAGGCGGTCGAAGATGACGAAAGTGGCGGTAGTCGGTGCCGGAATAAGTGGACTGGTTTCAGCATATGTATTGTCTAAAGCTGGTATACAGGTGGTGCTGTTTGAGAAGGAAGATTATTTGGGAGGCCACGCCAAGACTGTTAATGTTGATGGCACCAATCTTGATCTTGGATTCATGGTCTTCAATCGAGTAAGTACATTTTATTTTTTTTTCCATTTTCATAAGTAAATCTTAAGCAACAATACCTCATTTCAAAAAACCCACGAGATTTGGGTAGTTAGAACTCTTTCTCTTTCTCCTTATCCTTTTTTCTCGGTTTCTTCAAAAGAGTCGCATCGCATTTTCCTAATAAAATTATGGTGTATGATAATTCAGCCGGTAACACTTTCATAATTCTTTGTAGTACCTAAGGGGCATGAAAATATGATGAAAAACAAAAGAAAGTGACATTTCTTCTCCAACTTACAATACTTGTGTTGATTTCACTTGAGAATATTGTGCCATTTGTCCAAATGGAATTCGAACAGCATAACTTTTATTTTTTGGAAATTTACAAACGTTTTTGGAGGTCGAAGATTCGTGATTTTTTAATGCATGACGATTATAGCCAGAAAGTCAATGTTTTGTGGGGGAAATTTTATGATGCTACCAAATTTTCATGTTTTATGTTTGGTCTGTTTAGAAGCATATCATTTTCACGTACGTGTCCGTGTCCATGGACGTCTTCTTGTTGATATTTTTTCTAAGGTCTTAAAAATCACACTAATTTTTATCCAAAAATATTTTATTTGGCACATATCCATCTCCTACACCTTTATTATATTATACCGTTGATATTATTGATGGTGCAAATGAAAATTATGTTATACTATTGATCATAGTTATTAGACCCGACCCAGACAAGGTACTGAGTCTCGGGTTATTGGTTGAACTGGTGGGTCATTGCATAAAAATCTATAAAAAAAAATTAGGCAAAATTATTATTTTTAAATTATTTTTCACTAATTATTTAGGTTTATAAAATAAAGTAAAATGTTTAACCAAAGTTTATATAAAAATACTTTTAGAAAAATTATTATTTTTAATATATATGATTTGTTGGATACATATATAACTTATTGCATATAAAAAATACTAAAGTGCTCTACAACTCCAATGGTGAGGAACTAATTGTTTTACTTAGAGGTCCAAGGTTCAAGGAATTGAACCCCCAAATTTTTAAAAACAATTTTGAAAACCGGATAACCGGTCGGGTTAACTCAGTCAAAACCGCTGGTTAACTCGGTCAAAGCCGATTTTTGACCGAATCATGTTCACTCCTATTAAATTAATCTACCTAGCCCAGACAAGGGCTCGGGTCACCAGTTTTCTGGCCCGACCGGCCGGGCCGGGTTATATAACTATGCTATTGATAGCGTTGACGGTATAAATTACCATCTTTTGAATGAAATATGAAAAAAATACTTTCTTTCTTAATCCACTAGGATATTATCTACCTAATGTTATCCATTGTTATTTTACACTCATTCTTTATACGGTCTAATCCGTAGAATTCAAAAGCCTGAAAGACTCCCTTGAGAAGACTGATCTTCAATTGAAGAATCAGTAGCAAAAAGGGACGTATGAACCTTCGAAAAAGCAAGGGCGAGTTAAAATACTACATTCAATAACGACTTCAAAGCATTATCCGTTATTATTTTACACTGATTTTTTTATACGACCTAATTCAAGAGGTCAAAGGTGGCCTCGAGGGAGAAATGAGGATATCATTAAGATTTGAATGTTTTCTTGATTGGGGACTTTTTTTGCTCAATTTTAGAAGTTAGGGATTGTTGTTACTTGAGCAATAAGTTTGGACCTACTTGCTCTTTTTAAAAATTGCGGATCTGTTTGTTACTAGTTCAATAGGTTCCCTTCCCTACCCCTTTGCCTGTGAAGCTGTGCTCTTCCCCTTCAGATTTTTTGCAGAGAATCAAATTAGGGTTTTGACAGGGTTCGTTAACAACTAAATGGAGTTAACAAATATTGTGATGCATATTTGCAAATTCAATAGCTGGTCTTATGCTTTGCACATAATAGTGGGTATGAAGAAATTAATGAACTTTCCCTCTTTAGTATCATAGTCTTCGAGCATGTAGGCTAGGGCTGAACAAAACTCTCGATCCGAATCGGGCTCGACCAAACCGAGTGGTTCTTAAATTAAATACCCGAACGGGTATCTAAATCAAGAACCGACATGTTTGGTTCGGTTCTAAAAATCAAATCTTCCTAAGCTTTTAATTTTTTATCTTAAATAAATCAAATTATTTTATTTTTTTTCCACTTGAATTTGCTAATTAATTAATTTAGGTCAAACCTAAAATATGATTGTACTATTTTCAATTTTCAGCCAAACTCAACTAAATCAAATTGACCTAAATTTTACCAAAATCTCTAATTCTACAGTAGAATCGTTTCTGCAACACTATTATATACTATTTTCAATTTTCAGCCAAACTCAACTTAATCAAATTGACTTAAATTTTACTCAAATCTCTTATTCTACCGTAATATTGTTTTTGCCGTTCTATTATTGTGAATTTGCTATCTTCCTCTTTTTGTGATTAACAGTCATATTTATGAAAAACTCAACAAAGAAATGTACAAAAGATATCACTAGATTGAACTACGTTAATGTAGTGTTGTCGTAAATATAAAAAAAATTAATTATTGTACGGAACTTGGGAATCGGACAGAACCCGAACGGTTCTATAATTAAATTTGGATCCGACGGTTTCATTTCATAGATACTCGAAAATTTCGGTTCCGTTCGGTTCTCTTCAGATTCGAACCAAATTGGATCATGTCCAACCCTAATGTAGGCAAGAAATGTATTGCTGAAACTTCTCTAGATCTACAATAATGATTTATTTGAATATACGTTTTCTAGATAATGTGTGATTTTTTTGGTACTTTTAGTGTTTTTGTAAAAGAAGATTCTAGTGGAGATCTTTATATTGATCATGTGAATGTTGACTTATTTGGTGTTGGGATATTGGACAGGTAACATATCCAAATATGATGGAATTCTTTGAGAGTCTTGGAGTTGATATGGAGCTCTCTGATATGTCATTCGCCGTGAGCTTAGACAAAGGTCGAGGATGCGAATGGGGCAGCCGGAATGGTTTATCCGGATTGTTTGTACAAAAGAAGAACATGTTGAATTTATACTTTTGGCAAATGATTAGAGAAATCATCAAGTTCAAGGATGATACCATAAGGTAAGTACTAAAAGATAATTCCTTTTATGCATGGAAAATATATCCATATAATAATCATACGAAAATGTGGATGCTAATGTCCATATAATCTTATTGAAATGAGAATATACACCAACAAGTGGAGGTGGCAATAGAATGAGGATAACTTAAGAGAAATTTAGGTGATCGGGAAATATTCTGGGCAATGATGCACCGACACAGACACGTGTGTCGGACATGCGATTTTTAAAAAAAGTACAGACACGACATGTTGATTAAATTCTTAAAAATTCTTCATTTATATAGTATAAATTTAGTTTTATCCTTTTTATTAATTTTTCTTTTTTAAATCTTTTAAACATGAGTACCTTTTTATTACTTGCTAATAATTTTGAGTTAACAATATATAAAATTTCTAATATAAAAAGAAAAATGATTACTGTAGAGTGTCTGAGAAGTGTCGGTATCGACTCGTGTCAGACACATGTCGGACACGGATACGCTACCCTAATTGAAGTGTTCGTGCTACAGAGATTCTGGATAGACCTAAAAAAATCTCCCATTCACAAGAGTTGGCAAACAAGCTAGAAGTGGGAGGGGTAGGTCAAAACTAACATGCAGAGGCGAAGGGGGCACAGAGTGGCGATGACCCTGCAACATTTACAAAATTTCTGATTTTACGTGGAACATTTTGAAAAAAATAATAATAATATATACACAATACAATATACATTTCGCCCGTCTAAATTCCCTGGCTCCTCGGCTGCGTTAGCTCCTCCACTGCTAACGCAGCCTGTTGTAGTTGCTTAGGATATAATTCTCTAATTCTAGCAATGAACTGAACGTATAGGTGAAATAGAATTTATGTAGCCAACAGGGGTGGATACAGGCACGAGCTCGACAGGACTACAGCCCATATCTGCCCCTGCAAATGTCCACTTTGTTCTTAGTTCTTTTTTAGATAAACCTATGTACATTTGTATTGAGCCCATATCCAAACTCAAGGCTGGATCCTCCACTGGTAGCCAATCTCAAATTAATTAGGGACTAGACTTTGTTGTTGTATTCTGTTTTTTTTATCCTAAATATATATTTACATGTGAAGTTCATGAAGTTTGATTAGGTACTACTTATTCAATATGGTTCAATATATTACTTAGTGACTCTATATATTTCCCATATAGAAATGAGTTTGATTAATTGTTTGTGGATTAGATGAAACTTTTCTTAATGAATGATGAACTAATAATAATTCACTTATTGCAGTTACCTTGAAGATCTTGACCGGAATCCAGATATTGATCGGAATGAAACCCTGGGGCAGTTTATCCGGTCACGAGGTTACTCCGAGTTATTTCAGAAGGCTTATCTTGTGAGACTGCTGGAAAATTGTATTCTGTCACATGTGCAAGCTCATGTCTTATATATCACCTGTCATAGAGCAGAAAATGCACTAGTGTCATGTTTTGGTGTCGCACTGGATAGATTAGAGAAATGAGTTGAAATCTTGTTCATTCTATTCTGCAGTACTGTGACATGCCCATGTGTTTGTGCTTTCTGCAGGTTCCCATTTGTGCTTCAATCTGGTCATGCTCTTCAGAAGGAGTATTGAGCTTTTCTGCTTATTCCATACTTTCGTTCTGTCGCAATCACTACCTACTTCAGGTAGGTTTTTGTATCCCTTAGTTGATCATTTTGTCTTGATCTCTCAATCCAGCTTCATGTATTTGCAGATGCATCATTTTCTGTACACTGATTTTCTCTGCAGCTCTTTGGTCGCCCTCAATGGCTTACCGTAAGATGGCGTTCACAAAATTATGTCAATACGGTATATTAATTTAATTTGAGCTTCCTTTGTTTTCATTGATTATCATCTAGAAAGACTTCTTAGTTTACATGTTAAGAGCATCTGATTTCTATTAAATTTTGATTGTTATTGCACCTCCTTTCATGGAATCAAAAACAGGTTAGGAAAGAGCTGGAAAGTAGAGGCTGTCAAATAAGAACTAATTGTGAAGTATGTTCTGTTTCAACAAATGATGAGGGTGAGTGGTCATTTATCATTTTTGTTTTCGCTAATGTTCATGTATTTTGTTATTCTTGAGGTTAAAAATCAGAAAAAATTTCGCACAGTTTAATTCTTTTTATATCTTCCTTATTCAAGTTAAGAATTCCACTAGCAGTATTAGCATTGATGTACTAAGGCGTTCACACTATTATGTTTCTACTGCTATCTAACTTCTTGAACCTTGCATGCTACTTGTTTGATTCAATATAAAAATCTTTGTGATCGAAGAATTGAAGCTTAACATTTAGACAGTACATGAGCAAACATGATTGGAAATATCATTGGTGAACCATCATCTTCCCTGATCTTGCTCTTCCATGGAGGCTTTTCCTCCTTTTTGAAGGTTGAATCTGTCTCCCAAGACATGAAATACAACATATAAAGTAGTGTTCTTTAACGTTCTTGAAACATTTAGAATATGTATTCTTTAAAATTCTTAATGCATTAAAAGTGAATGAGAATTACAAAAACAATGTGTTTGCATTTGCCACACTATGAGCTACATGTTGACCGTAGTTTTTGAGCCCATAAAACCTTTCGATGTAGGACAAAGACATCTTAATATGAGCCCTACAATGGGCAGTAAAATAGGAGCAGTGTTGGCTGGATTTTTAACATTCTGTTGCTTAAAGGCTGTGATGATGGGCAACGAAAATATAGTGGTTTAAAATTCAAGTATGTATAAGAGATTCAGAGGCCGTCTAACCCTGTTTTGTTTCTTAAAGGCTCTAAGGAAACGTTTATCAGTCTCAACATTATTCTAATTAAGAATATAAAATGAAGATATTACATTGGTACTTGTAGAGTTTAACGAGTTCATACTGCCATGAAGACTAGGGTTCTTTGACCACACAATATCATTCTATCTGATTTGGATATCATTTTAAGAAAGTACAAAACATAATTATAATAATTTAGACCCAGGGGCATGACCCGTTCCCATAGTTTTTGTTTACCCAGTGAAAGTGTCCATTGCAACACTTCTGTAAAATGCCAAAAAATTTCATGTACTTCTAAAATGGAAAGGAATTGGACTATTGCATTTTGATCTAAAGATATTGTTAATATCGTTATGATTTTCTTCTGCATTACTTCAATAACGGTTTGATTGTATAGTTATTGTAAATTCTTCTTCTAATTGCCTGTTGCATATGTATTGTATTAATATGTGTCTCTCCTTCCAAGTAAGTCTGAAAAAAAAAGCTTTTGCAGGATGTGTTATAAGTTGTACGGATGGTTCGCAAGAAAGATGTGATGAATGTATAATGGCTGCACATGCTCCAGATGCTCTGAAGCTGTTAGGCAAACATGCAACACATGATGAATTAAGAATCCTCGGTGCATTTCAATATGCTTATAGGTGCTTTTTTGGTTCCTCTCAGTACCATTTTTATTTTCAGTGAGTTCCTTCTAGGGTTGGTTTCATTAACATGTTTCACTTTATGTGTTTGAATATAGATGATCCTTTCCCAGAAACATGTTTGTCATATGAACTCTGCACCTGAATATTCAAGTTAAACAGGCAGATAATGTTTTAGAGAGATTATTTCAACTTCAAATAAGGAAAATGTGTTAATTTTTACACACAAAACAAGGAAAAATTAATTCTTTTGTTTAGTGAATTATATGAGAAATGTAAGTCCTTTCTTTAAAGAGATTGTGTCTTGATACAAAATTTAACTCCACTACATTATTTAGCTCGCTTTCGGTCCTACTTGACTTTGGGGGGGGGGGGGGGGGG